TATTTTATATATTTAAATGCCATTTAACAAAGAAAAATCAACCAAATAAATGAGTTCGCGTGTCACTTCTGACATGCGTGTCATAGGTTCGCCATCACTGTTCTAGGCCGCTGTCCTTAACTCAGCCTTACTTATAGTAAGCTAGCAGACATTTGCTTGCTCCCCTGAATAGCTCATCTTACTGCTAACTGCTCCCTAGGTTTTGCAGATTACATGGGAGGGAGAATGTAAAGAACTGAAATGAACTCATGTTCGACAAGCCCCGAGGCTACTCAATGTTCTTTTCTTCAAAACGAAATGTCTCCTAATGTTTTCTTATGTGATTGCTTTATTAAAAATCTGAAAATACTGATAAAAATGTAAAAATATTCATGATTTCCCATACTCAGAGACTGTCATTGGTAATACCATGGAGTATATCCTTCCAGATGTCTCTTGCACTTGTTTGTGATTCTCTCTTATCTGGATCACAGGTAACACTATTTTTGTCATATCTTTTGTCATTTAAAAATACATTGTATCCCAGCTGGTGTGGCTCAATTGGTTGAGCTTCATCCTGTGCATCAGGAGGTTCCTGGTTCGGTTCCCAGTCCAGGTGCCTGTGGGAAGCAACCAATCAACATTTCTCTCTCACATGGATATTTCTCTCTCTCTCTCTCTCTCTCCTTTTCCCTTCCTCTCTCTCTAAAATCAATAAAAACATATTTTTTAAAAAAGAAAATAAAGTTGATTTATTTATTTCTTTAAATATAGAAAAGTATAAAATTAAAAGCATTAATAATTTTAATTATTAGCATTTCCAACCTCTTGTTATATAGTTAGGTACATACAGTATACTAATTTTACATTCTACTTTTTTTTTTTTTTGCAATGATCTCTGAACTTTTTACTGGCCTTCTGACCCCCCAGGGGGTGTCCCACTTCTGCTGACTTTAATGCCTCAGAACTTCGGTGTCCTTTACCTCAGATACCACTTTGCTGTCCACAGTCCTGTGGGTGGTGGTCTTTTGGATGGATTGTATGGAGTGGCTGTTGTCCAGGGAATCACCAAGATTGAAGTCCTCCTCTTCTACCAGCAGGCGGCATAGGTGTTGCTCTCAACCTCCAGCTTGACCTTGATGTTCAGCAGGGCCTCCTACTCCTGGGCTTGGTGCTGCCCTTCTGCCTGGGTCTGGGCCTGCTCTGACTCCCAGAGCAGTGGGATCCCACTGAGCTATTCCATCTGTGTGGCATAGTGTGTCTCCACCTCCCTCAGGCTGCTCGCCAAGCTGGCCTTCAGATTTCTCATCAAGTCCAGGCTAATCTCCAAGGACTGAGCCATACAGCTCAGCTCTGTGAGTGTCATCTCAGCAGCTCCTGTCTCTGCGGTCTGCGAGGCGACCACGGTGGTGTTCTCCTCAATCTGGTGGGACCAGTATTTGTCTAGCTCCTCTTGGTTCTTCTGAGCCAGCTCATCACACTGGGCCCGGATGTCTGCCATGATCTTGCTGAGGATTTGGGGGCACCCAACTCCATGGTTAACCCAGAGTTGGCAATCTGGATTTGTAGATCATTTACTTCCTCCTCATGGTTCTTCTTCACTAAAAGCAGCTCCTCCTTGAGAGCCTTGATCTCTGTCACCAGCTGCAGCCGAGTGACCTTTCAGAGCCCGCTGATGTTACCGTCCACAGACAGGCACATGGCCAGCTCTGTCTCATTCTTGACTCTGAAGTCATCAGCAGGAAGATGGATATTGTCAATCTGCAGAATGGTGTCCACAGAACTTGCAAAGATCTGAGCCTTCGGGTCCTCATGGTCTTGAAATAATGTTCCAATCTCTGACCTGGGGTCCCTTCTTCTCCAGGGGTTCCCGGATTTTGCTCTCCAGTCTCTGATTATCAGCCTCCAGCTTCTCACCCTCTCCAGGTAGGAGGCCAGGTGGTCACTGAGTCATTGCATAGTCTCCTTCTCGCTCTGGATGCCCCCTATGCCTGCCAGACCCCCGGCCATCCCCACAGCCAGGCCCCTGGACACTGGTGGAGTAGGACATGGAGATCCAGGAGCCCTCACCCTCGGTGCCTACATAGACGCTGACGGCACTGCTGAATGATAGGCTGGCTTAACTCTCTTATGAACCCCTGAAACTGACCTGGTCTTGGGATCTGGAATTAGTTTAAATTTTTTTTTTTTACACAAGATTACCAGCCTAAGAAATTCAGAAAGAAACTGGCTGATCTTGAGCATAAACCAGGCAGTGACATATCCAAACATAGCCCTGACATTTCTGAGCTGGTCCCTAGAAGACCTGTTGGAATACTGCTGTCAGCTTTCCTTCCTTAGAGTGATGTTCAGCAATTTGTCCCTTTGCCTCTCAATCAGTCCTCTCCAGGCTCTCTTCATAACAAACACAAAACAAAGCTATCAGGGTAGAAATGTAGGTGTTAATATCTCCTCAGACTCAAGTGGAAATTCACATTTCTAGGAGTCTCCTGATTAGGTAACACCTCATTTCCTCCATTTCATATCCCATCCCCACAAGAGAACCATCCCATGGGGATGGAGGTGGTGGTGGTTCTTCCTTCATATCTAATGTGCCAGCCACCTTGGCCATTGTTTCTGCACAGTGGTTAGGAATGGGACAGTTCTTTATTGTGCATGAGAACCAAAAATGTCCCCACAAAGTTTTAGAATTCACTTGAAGAGTAGTTGCACTCCTTTGAGATAATGCCCATCATGAACTGCAGTTCTGAGCCATTTGGGATCTTATTTGCAAGGATCTCTTTGCATTATGTGGGCTGTTTAGGTGTGAGTTAAGACCCTAGTAATTGGCCAAGAGTTTTTAGTTTTTTGGGGGTTCTCAGGTTCCAATAACATTTTCTTTTGGATCTTTGGTCAATCCAGCTTTAGTCCATGCATGTTGCAAGTTAAAATGCTTCCTAGAAAGTCTATGGTCTAACATAAAATCAGTTCTTGGGTCAAAATTTCTGATTATTTTGTATGTAAGGCAAAATTGAACTCAAACTATAAAGGGAACTGTAGCAGGGTATAGTGGGTGGGGAGCTAGACTGGAAGTTTGGAGACCCCTGACTAGCTGTGGGATCTTGGGTGAATCAATTCCCTACCCTTGGTTTCAATTTCATTTGCAAAATGGGGAGGTTGAACTAGACCAGTGGTCGGCAAACACATTAGTCAACAGAGCCAAATATCAACAGTACAACGATTGAAATTTCTTTTGAGAGCCAAATTTTTTAAACTTAAACTATATAGGTAGGTACATTGTTATTAACTTAATTAGGGTACTCCTAAGGTTTAGGAAGAGCCATACTCAAGGGGCCAAAGAACCGCATGTGGCTCGCAAGCCACAGTTTGCTGACCACGGGACTAGACAGTATCAGTTCCTTTCAGCTCCAATATTGTGATTTTTAAATCTTTCTGTGTCCCCATTCCATCATCCATAAGATTGGGACAATACGTGCTCACTTCTGAGTGAGACTGAACTTTCCTTAATATTAGTGAAATATTTCAACATTGTGGTCACCCAAAAATTAGGCCCTGACAATGATCTAAGCTTCCACACAGATCTCTGAGGCCCAAGAACAGTTTCTTACAGAATGTTTATAACGACTGTATGGTATGAGTTTGTAATGTCCTTACTGTAAGGTGTGTTTCCTGTAAGACATTCACATTGGAGGGGAAAAGTCACTGGAGAAAGTTGGATTGACCAACTTTACCAATAACTGGCAAAATGAGAATTTGAATCTCCAATGTGTGTGACCCCAAGACCCAGGCTTTTAGAGCCATTATGTTTTACTCTTATTTGGTAGTGGGACGGGAGGTAGAATGCTTTCCCTTTCCAAAACCTTCTAGCACCCCTAGACACTAATAGTCATTCTAGTTCTGTCTGCTGTTGGAAACATACTCCATTAGGAATCTGAAAGCTGGGTTCTAGGTTTGCTGCTCTGTATTTTTGGACAAGGCATATACGCTTTCTGGATCTCACTTTCCTTATTTGTAAAACAGAGAGCTACCTGAAGGCAGGAGACCATTTCCTACTCACCATTTCCCTCCCTTGACTCTAGCAGAGCGTGGGGCAAATATTATTCAAAAGCACTTCCTGAATGAAGGAATGTAAGGGGGTAGACGAGATGGTTCCTGTTTCCTTTCTCATTCTTTGATCTTGAATCGGGGCCTTGACCAGGTAGGTGTACCATATACAGTATAGTATCTATTTTATTTTTTTTAATTTATTTTTGCCTTCTATTTTAAAAACAGAACAAGGCATTCCAAATCCTAGTGACTTAATCTTTATTTTTAGAGGGCTGGTCTTGACCAATTATGTGTGGTTTGTTTGGACCTGTGATTGACGTTTACACCAAGGCCTCCTGTACTTCCCCAGACTAGCCAGGGACATTGCACAACGGAAACTGCACGGATCCGCTGTAGCAATACCACCGAGGGGCCGAACACCAGGGGCTGACAGCAGACTCCCTCTGGGACAGCAGCTCTGTAACTTATGCAAACAAGTCCTTCAACGCGAAGGGCAAACTCCTGGCTGGGAGGACTGGGCCCCGGCTACTCCCCGGTACTTGACCTTGCCATGGTCTCTGCTCTTCCCGGAACTTTCTGAAGAAGTTCCCTCACCTCCAAAATGGCGGAGCTGTCCTAAGCGAAGGGCCGGAAGCTTCTCCCCCAACCCCGGGCTTCCACTCCGCCCCTTGAGGATGGGGCGGGGCGAGGCGAAGGTCAGGCCAGGAGTGACCCCCCGACCCCCGTCGCTGGGCGGGGCCTTTCCTCCTTCCTTTCCGCCCTCTCGCTTCACCGCGGTGAGGTCACGCGGGGGACGTCACGGGGTTGTGACGCCACTGAGGGGCGGGCTTCCGGGGAGGAAGGGGCGGGGCCTAGGCGGGCGACGCTTGCGCAGTGGGCCGCGCGCGGGTGGAGGCGGAGCCGGTGGAGAAGCGAGAGGCGGCTGGCGGCGGAGGCGGCGGCTTAGGGGGGGGTGGGAGGGGGCAGCGCGCGAGTGCTTGAGGTGAGTTTACCCGTATGAGGCGGGTGAGAGGCCCGGGGCCTACTCAGAGGAGCGGGCGGGCGCCGGGCAGCAGCGGCCCCCCCTGGTCCCCGGGCCCGAAGGCGCGGCGGCGGCTCGGCGCGAGGAGGCGGGGAGCGCTGTTCGGCCCCAGACATGGAGGGCATGGACGTGGACCTGGACCCCGAGCTGATGCAGAAGTTCAGCTGTCTGGGCACCACCGACAAGGACGTGCTCATCTCCGAGTTCCAGCGGCTGCTCGGCTTCCAGCTCAACCCGGCCGGCTGCGCCTTCTTCCTGGACATGACCAACTGGTGAGCCGCCGCGCCGGCGTTGGCAGCGGCCTCGGGGCCCCGAGGGAGGGAGGGACACCCGAGCCCCGCGGCGGGGCGGGCCGGGCGGGCTCTGAGAGGCACCCCCTTTCTGCGGCGGGAAAGGCGTGGGGGGAAGCCCTAGGGGCATGGGAGAAATGTGGGGGCTGAGCAGGTTCCAGAGGACGCACGGGGAGTGCTGGGGCCCACGGAAGGCAGGAGGGGCGGGAGAGAGATGGTGGGGAGGGTCCCGAGGCTCCGTGGAGTGTTTGGGGCCGTGGAACGCGGGGCGAGGGGCAAGACTTGAGCCTCGAGGCTGGCGGCTGGACTCGGAGGAAGAGGGCTTTGGTGTTGGCCGAGAGGAGCAAGCACAGGAAATCTGAATTTGGGGAGTGGAAAAGAGCTTCGCGCGGAGTTAGGGGTGAGGAAGACGGGGATGAGGGGAAACTCCGGGGACGGGCTAGGTGCTGTGGAGGCACCTGGGGCGCGGGGAAGACTTGGGGGGAAGACTTGGGAATAAGGAGTTGAGAAGAACAGATGTGTGTTGTGTATGTGTGTGTGTGTGTGTGTGTACGTGTACGTGTGTACGACTTTCGGAAGAGTTGTGCCAGGGAGGTTGCGGGGGAGGGGGATCTACTAGCAGATTGGCTAATGGAGAACTGGAAGTATCAGACCTGGGGCAGTGTCTGGGGAAAACTTTAGGAAAAGTGAAGGAAAGGAGTTTATCTTGGGGAAGGGGACCTTTTGAGGGGACCAGGGCCCTCTGCTCCAGAGTGCTGGCATGGGGAGTTCTGGGCTTATCCGAGAGAGAGCTGGGTCGGTAGGTATTGGGGGAGACGGAGGACTTGGCCCAGGCTGGGAACCGAGTGTTTGTAGCTCGGCGTCTCCTTGCAGAAGACTGGAATTGGGGCAGGAGACCATGGCACTTAGACTCAAGGAGTGTTTCTTGGCTTTGGATGTAGCACTTGCTGTTTTTGATAAGCAAGGCTTCCTCCTGTTCTCTGAGGAGGGATGGTTGGGTTCACTCAGGGAGAGCGAGAAAGGGGAGGCCATTAGCCTTCCTTTGAAAAGATTTTAGGTAAAGCAGCTCATCTTTCTTTGGTCAAAAAGCCAGGGAATGGAATGCCCTTTGCTCTCTGGGTCGGGCAGTCCCCTGACATGTGGAATCTTGTTTCCTTTGGCATCACTTGTACAACTAGCCTCCCCTTTATCCCATGCCCACTAAATGCCTCAGGCACTGCCAGAAAAAAAGAGGCTGTAAGCCTAGTCTTTATCCCATTCCTCATCTAGCCCCATCCTGAAAGATGCTCATCTGACTAATGATGGGAACCTTGTAGTTGTGACTGCAAAGGTGATGTGTGATTTTTTTTTTTTTCCTGTGTAGCATCATTGGTCACTTCTGTTATTTTAGCTTTAAAGTTGATTGTTATTGCAAGAGTGGGATTGAATTTCTAGATGCTTAGAAAACTCGGAGGCATTGAATGCAGGAGCTAGTCTTAAGAATTAAAGAAGCATTTGTCAGCACCACTTGTATCTTCTATATCTAGGGTGATCTCAAGCATGGACTGTAACCTCCAATACTTTTCTGAACACCAACCTATGGTGTTTAAAGAGAGTGACAGGGATTACTGAAAACACTGAGAAGAGGTATTATTCCACTGATGAAATTTAGAAATAAAGCTATCTGGAGGAGGGTTGTTCTCTTGCCTGCCTTCTTTCCCACCGGCTCTTTTTCTTCCTTGTTTACACTAGTTCAGCGTAGGAAACTTGGCATATTGTTGCTGCCAGTTTGGTAGGGGAGGATCATTATTTCTCCCCACCCCCTTGTGAGTCGTACCATGTGAGTCAAACCCTGCCCTAAGAAATTAGTTTTTAGTTCTTTAGAGTCAGTATTTATTAGTACAATTACTATGGCTACAAAACCAGTGTAATGAATTTTATATGCTTGAGGTGTGTGTGTGTGTGTTTAACAACTAAGATTGTTTGTTTTTAGGTGTTGTGAAAGATGAGGCCCAGTGTGGATGAGAAAACAACAACAACAAAAATCATAGCTGCATGATAAAATTTTATTTGAATTTTTAGAAAAGTTATTAGGCTCAAAGACACCGAGTGGCATATATTCTGATAAGATGTTATCTCTGTATAAAATAAGGTATGATACATTTCTGAACAAAGGAGTGAGCCAATAAAAAAATGTATTCTGGTTTTAAAGCAGTTAGAAGTTAGTAGCTTCTTAGGAATCCAGGCAGTTAAGTGATAACTTAGCTTTAAGCCTCATTATTTTTTGGTTGTAGAAGTCATGTTTTTTATTTTCTTTGATTATAAAATGAAAAATCATTTGTGAACTGAAAGCAGTAAGGCTTGTTATTCTTTTTTTTTTTAAAATATATTTTATTGACTTTTTACAGAGAGGAAGGGAGAGGGATAGAGAGCCAGAAACATTGATGAGAGAGAAACATCGATCAGCCGCCTTCCGCACACTCCCCACCGGGTATGTGCCCGCAACCAAGGCACACGCCCCTGGCCGGAATCGAACCCGGGACCCTTGAGTCAGCAGGCCAACGCTCTATCCACTGAGCCAAACCGGCCAGGGCAAGGCTTGTTATTCTTTTCTAATGAAACAGTTAGCTCAATAATCCAATATTGTGTTTTTGATTCCTATGTTGACCTGGCTAACTCTGTCTTGTTAGACTTTTGTTTTAAACAAATACCCGTCATAATTAGCAAAATCTAGTTAAAAAATACATGCATATTTGGTCAAAATACTTGTTGTTTAAGTAAATCTCTAGAATCTAGAAATTTATTGTTTTTAAGTGTCATTTAATGTCTAACTGGGACCTGTTGAGATGGCCTAATACAGGTTGGCAAAATAGCTCTCAAACTGCTGTAGTTAACCTGTTGGGTTTAGGATAATTAACCTTCCTGTGACTTCATAAGTGCCTGTTTCTGGTTGTAATAAATAACCACCATTCAGTTGTTTGATGACTGTTAAAAAATAATGTGGAAAATTAAAAAGTATTTTAAGCCCTGGCTGGGTGTCTCGGTTGGAGAGTCATCCCATACACCAAAAATGGTGCCGGTTGCCCTAGCATTTTGGCTCAGTGAATAGAGCGTCGGCACTTGGACTAAAGGATGGAGGGTTCCATTCTAGTCAAGGGCATGTACCTCAGTTGCAGGTTGCAGGCTCAATCCCCAGCCCTGGTCAGAATGCCTGTGGGAGGCCACCAATTGATGTGGCTCTCTCACATTGATGTTTCTCTCTCTCCACCCCTTCTACTTTCTCTGAAAATCAATGGAAATATATCTTCCAGTGAAGATTAACAAAAAACAAAAAAAACAAAACAAAAAAAAACATGTTGCCTGTTGATCCCCTGTTGGGGATGTTTCTCTCTTTCCCTTCCTCTCTAAAAAAATCAATGGAAAACATACCCTCGGGTGAGAATTAAAAAAAAAAAATTTTTTTGAATGAAGGTCATGAGTATCCTAAAATGAGTTGGAAAGACTGTTTTTGTTTTCCAGAGTAAGAATTTTTTTTTTTTGATTTGTAACAACTTTCTAAGAAGCTGTTGAAAAACTGGTTTAAATGGAATGTTTTGGCCTTATTAATTTTCTACCCTGTAAGATTTTTTTTTTTTTTTTGCTTAGTCTTAGGTTGGGTGTGCATTATGTAATTTCTCTTTATTTATTTTAGAACCAAGTATCATTTCAATTTTAGCATTTTTATAGTGTTTATATTTGAGCTGGCAGCCATGTTGCTGGAAATGGGTGGAATTGCCTCTAACAAAAGTAGTCAATTTTCAATTCCCAATTTATGAGTGCATAAAATGAATAAATGGTGTAGTGAAAAAACAGTATCTGAAGCCAAACTGAAATGACTTGTAGATTAGTATATCTTTCTATAGCTGGAATATTTGTTTTTATTGAATTTATTGGGGTGACATTGGTTAATAAAATTATATAGGTTTCAAGTGTGTAATTCTATAATACATCATCTGTATATTGTGTATTCATCACCCTAAGTCAAGTCTCTTTTCATCACCATTTATCCCCCACCCTCTTCTACCTCCCCCCACTCTGTAGCTGGAATATCTTGCAGTGACACTATTGGGCTGTGAATATAGAACCTGGATTTCTAAAATTGGAAGTTGGTTTAAGAGTTTCTGTAGTTCATTCCAGTTTCTCCTGCAGAATTGCATGTAACCCTTCCAAGAGAGCTTATTCTTGCGTCTCTGAGGGCAGAAATTTGTATGATATCGTATAGTGTTTAATTACTTTTGTAGTTAGAATTATGTCAAAACTTAAGTCTCTCTTACTGCAATTTAAGCTTTTTTTATTTGCTTATATCCACTTTAGAGATGGAGAATATCTAATGAACATTACCCTTAAGGGGCTAGAAAGCTTCTATTCAAATCATTAAAAGTTTTCAACCATTTGTAATTTAAACACATTCAATTTAATGGCCTCTCATCCTTTAAGGTAGTCTAATACATTTATATATTTTTTTCAGGGGTAACTAACAGGAGTCAGAGGAGAGTTTACATATGATTTTTAAAAAATTGTGGTAAAATATACATAACAAAATATCATTTTAACCAATTTTAAGTTCATTGTTAAGTAATGTAACCAAGCCCTGGCTGTTTTGGCTCAGGGGATGGAGTGTCAGCCTGCGGACTGAGGGGGGGTCCCAGGTTCTGTTCCGGTCAGGGGCCCATGCGCGGGTTGCTGGCTGGATCCCTGGTGGGGGTCGTGCGGGAGGTGGCTGATCAGTGATTCTCTCTCATCATTGATGTTTCTGTCTCTCTCTCCCTCTCCCTCCCTCTCTGAAGTCAATGAAAATATATTTTAAAAAACATTTTAAATTTCCTTCTGGCCTTTACAATCAGTTTTCTCTGTTACGCTTTTAAATTGTTTATTGATTTTAGAAAGAGTGAAAGAAAGAACGTTGCTTTGTTGTGCATTCATTGGTTGCTTCTTGGATGTGCCCTGACCAGGGATTGAACCTG